CCCCAAAACCCCAAAACCCCGTTTAGAAGTATCAAGATTGGATTGAGGCTTATGATTTAAAAATTAATATAAAGTCTAACAATGTCTAATATCTCAATTAACTGATTTTATAATAAAGAAGTCAATAGTATGCAACAATATTGCTCAGTCGCAAGACTGGCTTATAGTCTATCAATCTAGGTTGCTCTTATGTTTAATTTAGAGCTTCCTATTTGGTTGGTAGTTCAGAAATTTAGGGAAATTTTTATGAATGCTTTTAAGACCTGGAAATTGTACTTCAAAATTTTGAACAAGATCAATAATTTTAAATCTTATCATTCTAATCTTCTTTTCATCTGAAGACATATAGGTCTATTTCATTTGAATGAACATTGAATTAATTTAGGCTTAATTCTTCCATTCTGAGTTATCAACATTTTAGTTTTAATGTAAATCATTAAGGTAATTGTTGAATCTATTTCTCTTTTAAATTTTGAATGTCTGCCATAATATGGCCATAGCAAGTTACTCACTATCATACTGAAGAAAATTCGTAGAATAAGTAATCAATTGGCATAAGAAAGCTATGTATTCAATGAAGTGTTCCTATTCGCTTTTTGAAAGGTGTCCTTGCCCTATCAGCATTTATAAATTTTTAAAAGTCTCAGTAACTTTCTCAAAGACTGTGTCTTGATGAATCTTAAAGTCTAATGTAGTCAAAATATCTAACTCCATGGATAGAATTTGTTCTTAAGTAAATTTACTATGAGCTGCTTCAATAAGTATTTAGTGCAGATATATAGGAATCACGTCCTCAAATTTTGAAGCGATAAAAATACAAACAAGGCCTACAATATGCAAGTCCTGTTTACTCACTTTAATGCCCCTCAACTTTTTTACTATAAAGTATTTATCCATTAACTATATTGCAAGAAAGAAGGTTTTATGACTACTCTTCTTAAGTACCCTGAAAACAACAATCATCCAGTCAATCATCCTTGCTCTGTTCAAGTCTACTATTTAGTGAAACGGTAGATAGTTATTGTCATCCATTTAGGCACAGGAGCTTCTACTCCTTTTTTTATTGTTTTCATCTTCAATTTTTAATTAATTTTTGGACGAGAGTGACCCTTTACTAGATTTTTTATTAAAGCTATTAGAATCCATAATTGCTAGAAATGTGACATCTTCGAGGTCTTTTTTAGCAGAAGATCCTGTACTAAGAACTTTGAGCTTGATCCTACTATTTATGTTTAGTAGTAGTCTATCAGGGTCAATTCTACTTTTTCTTGATCGACGAATCTTAAATTCAGGATTGCTTGATTAAGTCTCTTGACAACTAATATTGCACTGCTAATTGTGTGAATTGCTCAGTCGTGAAAGATCGCTGAACCTCTTTTTCTCCATGAAGACCTAATCTACAATAATTTTTGGGGGAAGTTTCATTACTCTCTTTTGAGAGCCCTCATTCCTCTGAAATTGGCCCTCTTAGTGATTTGAAGACTTATTAAGAACCTGCTTATTGATGCTTTGGTCCTAAGAGAGATCTCGAACAATTTTATGAGAGTTATGCCTTGCTGGCTAAGCAGAGCCTTTGAGTCTCCTCTCAAAAAACAAAGTCACATCGTCATCATGGGTAGCAAAGTTGAGATTCTAAGTAGAATGTTTGGTTGTTGATAACTGGAATTTTCTTTAGTACATTATTATGAGATTGCAGGTGTATTATTACAAATATTTAATTTACTATTTTCTGATTATATAAATATTTAAATTATCTCAGCAGATAAAATACTAATCTATTTGGTGCTTAGGGGTTTTGGGGTTTTGGGGAGATCGG